GGTTGAAATCCCCCATAATAAAGTTTGGTGCATCCGGAGCTAGCCCCTTCAGCTTTTGCACATTTTTCACCAGAGTACGTATAGCAACATCAGCATTAGCCTTTGGGTGAATATACACCAGATTAACAAATAATTGTGGAAATTTCCTTGTAAGATAGACAGAAGCTCGATGTTGGGTGTACACAGCGATTCCCTCATGATAAGGACTTCACATGTAGACATAAACCCCCACCTTGTGACTTACTGGTCATCAAGGGGTCCCTATCCAAGCAATAAAGCTCCCCAAAGCCCCGAAATCTCCAGAGTAGAATTACAGTCCTTAAACCACGTTTCCAACAGAGCAGTGAGGCAGAGTAACACTCTGCTAGAAACTTCACATTTGCTCGAAAATCATCCACTTCACTCTGTAGTGACTGGATAGTAGCAAGAATGATAGTAGAAAGCCCAGCTTCTTGATCCTCTGGCGCACCCCGCTATGTCTCCCTCTCCTCCTAACACCCGTCAGCTTGGAAGCCTGGTTTTTGTGAGCCTCTAACAGGCGCGTCTAGGTGAACTATGCAGGAAAGTTTGCAGGCAAATCCACTGTGCCCACTCTGGAGACTCGCATCAGAAGGAGAAATTTCTGGTCATAACAGAGGTGTCCCAAGTTTGCACCAAAACCACAAGATAAGAGATGTATAAGCACCAAAATTAGCAGGATGACACCTTGGTTTAGGTGAGTCATCATAACTGATGACATGGGACATGAGCTGCTTGGTGGAGGTCTGTGTTCTCCGAGTGCTTTTCCAGTATTTTATTGCTTATATTACACAGTTGGTTGTGTCATTTTTATGTATGAAACATAAGCTTTTAGCTAAATTTACTGTATATATTTCATTGTGCTGGGTGCAAATCACTTGAGTTGAGACGTTTTCAAGAAATTTGCTACATTTCATAATCTGAATTCACTTATGCGTATACTAAGGCACCAATAACTGTTTCAGGTGTTAGTTACATGTATTTATGACATTTGAGAAAGATTTTGTCTTGCCAGAATCAACATAGCAGTTTGTACAAGCAAAAACCGCAGCACCATAATCGTTTTTTGTGTTACTCACATATATGTACATTTCTGGCTGGTCCTTTGTCTCACCCTGTAGAGAAAGCCACTTTCTAATACTAGTTCTGTAAGTTTCCCAACGTGTCCTTGTAAAGTTGAGAACATCCTTATTCTGGACAGATGATGGATGCATATAGCATTGTTTTGTTCCTTTTTTATGCACTTTTGAAGGCTGTTTTCTTTTTTTTCCTTTTCTTTTCTTCCTCTTCGCTTGTCTCGCTGCTAGATGCGCTCGTCACCATGTTTGTGTATTTCTAATACTATGGCAACGAGACTCGGCTCCTATTGGTCCACGTGACAAAAATCGCTTCACCCCTCTGCATATTCGATTGCGCATGTGCAAGTATCACTACGCCGCAGAAAGGAAATAGTTCGACACCGAAACACTGATTACTAAAAATCGACTGGATGGCATGAGTAGATTTTTTTTTTTAGTACTTACTATCAATAGAGCTATTTCATAAATCACAGTTTATGTTGCCCCACTGAAGTGGAAACGAGATCCACCTCTGGGCACTTTTTCCTCAGTCCCAATACAGCCTTCGAGTGATATCGTCTGCATGAACAGTGAACAAAAGATCCAGACAGCTCTGGCTGCTGGGTACACAGGTTGATGAATGGGACAACACATTCGCAGCAGCATTTGAAGCAGCTGCGATAAACAGCGAGGCTACGGGAGCAAACAGGACCATGCTAATGTGTCCTTGTTGCATGAGCAAGTACACCACTATTATCTGTGATTGTGCTTTCCTATTCAGAGACAGCCGAGGACTCACTGGACTTTCTGTCATTCAGATACTGCCAGTCAGCGGCTATTGGTCGTCCCGAAGACTCGCCTAAAGAGTAAAGGTGACCAAGCCTTTGGGGCGGCTGCTCCAAGGCTCTGGAACAGCCTGCCTCAGCACATCAGTTCAGCTGAGTCGATAGAGGTTTTTAAATCCTCTTTAAAAACACACTTTTTCTCCCTAGCTTTTACCTAGCTCTTGATTGGTATTTTATATTTGTTTTTTATCTACTTACTTATTTTTTATTTGTTTTTATTTATGGTGTATTTGTAACTCAATTTTACTTTGCTGTATTTTAATCTTGTATTCTGTGTTTTTTTTTATCATCTTGTTCACTGTCTGTTTTATGTATTTTGCCATGCCTTATTGACCTGTACAGCACTTTGGTCAGCTTCGGTTGTTTTTAAAGTGCTCTATAAATAAAGTTTGAGTTGAGTTGAGTTGAGTTGAACAGCTTGGTTACTGAGAGAGTATCACAAACACTTAAAGACATTAATCGACTATACATATACAGACGGACGTCAGCTCTGGAGAGAAATGCAGATACTCTACTACTGTAAGCTTTAACATACAGTATCAACCCTCCTGACCTGCCCCCCTTTGCAGGAGTCCTTTACTTTACTGTCAAAATGTAGTGAAGTAGTTAACTTACCTGAATATAAAAATATAAGACAGTCTTCGAGCAGAACACCCAAAGTCTTTCTTTGCTGGTTCAGGTTGAAATGCTGGAAGCATTTGGTAAAGAAGTAAAAGAGCCCACAAAGAGCAGCACAAACAGCCTCTTTTTCAGTGTGTGAAGGTTTATTTGGTCTCCTGCAGCTCAAGTCGAACACAGGTTTTTTTGAAGAAAAAAAACAGCTTTATCTGTGCCTGAGTTCCTTGCACTGCTCTGTCTTAGAATCGTCCATGAAACAGTGAACTTAACAGTCTTTTTACATTCACCCTCCTCAGTGAGCCTAAATGAATATGCTGCCTGAAAGCCAATAGCTCTGTGTCCATGAAGAGCACATTTCACAGTGCCAGATATAAACATGCTTTAATGTTAAGGTAATCAAGAAGATGCTGCTGTGAGTCCAACTATTATGAGTGATAGAGGGATAACCACCAAGAAATAGTCGACTCATCTCAGAAATGTGGAATGATGAACTCAACCTGTTCTTCAACAGATTTGACACTGCTGTCACTCCCACTTCCACTGCTACTCCTCCTTCCTCTCTATAGCAAATCTCCACTACAACTTCTCCCCTTCCTCCTCCATCACATTCAAATGTCTCAACCACTTCAACTGCCTTCCTCCTAGAACACCAGTCCTTGTCTGTCACTGAAACAGGGGTGAGGGTGGAGCTTGAAAGACTTTGTCCTGGGAAGGCAGCTGGTCCAGATGTTGTGTGTCCAAGGCTGCTTAGAGACTGTGCGCAGAACTGTGTCAACCTCTCCACAAGATCTTCAACCTGAGTCTACAGCTGGGGCAGGTACACTGGTTCATTTGGTCCCATCAGATGAGTTCTGGTCAAAGGCATGGTTAGGGGGACCAATCTTAGCAGACTGGCCTCACAGACTGCTTACAGACCCAAATCTAAGGGCAGGACAGGTGAAAAGCCCTGCTTCATGAAGCCTTTTTCCTCTGTAATGTGCCCAGGTCATGACCAGCACCCTGTTCTCAGGAGATGCTGCCAGCCATGTCATCAGGCTTCCCTGGAACAGTCAGATTCTCATGGGCAGTTGCTGCTTCTTGGTTTAACACTAGAAGGACCACAGAGCAGCCATTTGGCTTTACCCCCCTCAAGGTCCACGGGGCAGCCGATCGGCTGGAAGGATTTTAGCTAATATCCTAAATCACCTGTGAGCACTCATTTTGTTATGCAAACGAGGTGATCGTTGGCACACCACAGGAGGGGACTGGACTAAGTGGTGTATGCAGTGGGAAGGGACAACAGAAAGGAAGGGATCAACACACATGGGTTGTTTACTTTGTTGCTGAAATTTATTGATTAAAAATAAACAAAATTTAAAAAACTGTATAGAATAAGAACAAGAATCAGAATCACAAGGGGTTTTATTGCTATTGTCAATGAACATGTTTCACAGACTAGGAATTTTTTACAACGTGATGGTGCATTATTAAACGGAGAATAATATGTAAAATACAAGTAGAAAATAAGAGCATGCAGGACATATATAAAGTATGAAAGTATGAAAAGCTATGTACAATGCTAGGATTTTTTACGGCGTGATGGTGCAACATTAAACAGAGAATAATATGTAAAATACAAGAATAGAAAATAATAAGAGCATGCAGGACATATATAAAGTATAAAAAGGTTGGTGATGGACTTCAGGTGAATATGCATTATCAGGATACAGTGTTAGATTCTCACTCACAATCCTGGCACTGCCATGGTATCTCCCTTCTGCATTTCCCACATGTGTATCTGTAGCAGTCAACACATCGCACAGTGGCATGATTGTTCTTACACTGATTTTTAACCTGGCACATGGCTCTTTTCCCAGGGCTAGGTGTGGAAGGTTGTTGCCGAAGCAATTCTTCCTTTCGTGCCTTCTTCGCAGTCACATGAGAGTTAGCAAGCTTTCTTGCAAGCTCCACCAGGAAGTCCACCCGGCTATCCTGCCTCCCATTGCATGCTTGATACAGCACATGTGCATTCTATGCTGCCATATCATTCATGTTATAGAACACAGAGACTGGCCAGCACCGTGTTCCGGTGCGGACAGTGTACTCCTGCACCATCTGGTCCATCACATCCACGCTGCACTTTGTAGTATTGTAAAGGGTGATTTGGTGTTTGGCTTCATTTTAGTAGTATTCTCAGTCTGAACCACGCTGTGCATGCATGCTGCTGAGAACATAGACCTTCTTCTTCCGTTTGGGCGCATACACCATAAGTATGGCTCCAGTGGTTAAAACACTTGAGTTGTGAATTCATTGCAGGCCCTCTGTCTAGATGATTGTGGAATTTCCCAGTGAATCTTGTTGACTGTGCCTAGGATGGTGGTTTTCCACCTAAGCAGTGGTTGCGCAAGTGACATCAATGTGAAGAAATTGTCTGTGGTTCCATTCTTGCGCTTGTCCAGGAATGGTTCCATCAGCCTCAAAACTACGTCCTCGGACAGTCTCTCCCCACTGGGACGACTGGGGTCCTTGCAAAGATATGGGAGGACATTGCAGATGTACTTGATTTCAAGTCACAAGCCACCCAAAACTTGATCCCAAACTTGTCAGGTTTCGTTGCAACGTACTGCAGGAAACAGCAACGAGTCTTTGACAGGAAAAGCTGTTCGTCAGTGGTGATGTGTCGACCAGAGTTGTAGGATGTGATGCAGTTGGTGACAAATGACGACCACATGGCAGAAATTGCAGCAAACTTGTCAGTCTTTGTGCGCTCACTGCGGGTGTCCCTATCATCAAAGCATGGGTGTCGCATAATGTCTTTGAAGCGATTTCGGGACATAGTTGCAATGATCTGGGGGTTTCCCAGGTTTGCTGACCAGCAGTCACTCAATGATGGAACCTTGGTCAGCCCCCGCAAGATAATAATGGCAATAAATGCCATTAGTTCAGGGAGGGCCATGAACCAATCAACATACTCTGTTAGCTTCGTATGTTGAACAGTACAGTCTTGAATAGAACCAAGCATGTCCAGTGTGATGAAACACAGGAAGCTCTGAAGACCAGTCAAGATGGACCTCCTGGCCTTAGCCATTGGTTCTCCATCTGCTGAGGTGCAGGGACATCAGGAGAAGTAGAACCAAACAAAACAAACAGAGGCCCAAACTGTCTGTGCAGTGGCTATGGCTGAAGCAGTTTCTGTCTACAGTTGTTCTCAGGTTAGAAACTCCCCTCCCCCTCCCCAGTCCCTCTCCCAACAACACAAGTTTTCTTGGAGTAACTCAGCATATCCCCTCCTGTGGTGCGCCAGCGATCGCCTCATTTGCATAACAAACTGAGTGTTCACAGGTCATTTAGTACTGGCTAAAAGCCCTCCAAGCCATTTGGCTGCCCTCTGGTCTTTATAGGTAGGAACAGCAAAAGCTGGTCCTTCTAGTGTTAATTTTGTGTTTGAGTTGCTTTATAGTGTGTATTACGCCACCGTCCGCCGCGTCGCCGACAGACACGAAAATAGAGCCCTCAGTGTACACCCTGATGGAGCTGAATGAAAGGCTGAGAACAGATAGCCTGGCAGCCGTTGTGTGAAGGTGTGAGAGTAAGAACAGAACTGTGATAGCACACTAATGCAGTTTTTTTATAACACAGCTGCTCTGATGATGTATCAAAAGAAAAGGATAAAGCACAGCTTCATAGTTTCGGAGTTTGACCTCTGACATGGTTTTGAAAAGGATGCAACAGGAGTGTATGTTGTTGTACATTCCAACAGCTTCTGGTTTTAATTTGCAAATCTTTGGTAAAAGCAGATTAGATTAGAAAGCAGTTTCCTCTGAGGACTTCTTCACACTTTGATTCCAGTCGGACCTCATCTTCGGTGATTTATCATCCTTTACTCACTCCTTCAGTTCTGTCTTTGCTTCCTCTCTCCTCTTTTTTTTGTCCTCTTTCCTGCTCTTCTTCTTCTCTTCCTGCAGATCCCCCGTCTTTCACCTTCACATTACCTTTCTCTACCTCTGTCAAGCTGAGCTGTGCTGCATTTTCTTAAAGCTCTAATCAGCTGAAAGCATTAAGTCCTGGTTTCATTAAGAGTTTACCTTTGGTACCTCAGTCAACTGTGTGATATCTGTAAGGTTCAGTCAATGACGCATTTTTCTTCAAACTTTTAAAGTCCTCTGAAGTAGCAGCCAGATTATGTGTTATGTAAGGTTATACCGGGATCTCTGAAGACTGAACGTTTTCATGGAGAAGCTAAAAACAGATGGTGTAATGGCAGTTTGGGTTTGTTGTCTTTTCTTCTGTCGTGAGGAGTAAAGACTTTATCAGAGGCTGGAAGCAGCAGCACCTGTTTGGCAGATCCTCTATTTCTAAAGACATGTTTAAATTCAGCTGTTTGTGCCTAAATTCAGAACTTTGCAGCATTCAAAAACTGTCTATCAGTGTTTTTGTTTCAAAGTATTAGCAGAGCAGTAAAAAAAGGCTGGCTCTGTGAGGGTGGTATCAATTTGGACTCACTGGAGGATATGGAGGAGAGATGTAGACTGAGGAAGGTGGAGACTATTCTAAAGAACATGGATCACCCACTCCACAACACCTTGATGGACCAAAGGGCCAATGGTGGTGGACGGCTCCTCTCTCTTTGCTGCAGGACAAAAAGATTCAGAAAATCTTTTGTACCAACAGCCATCAGACTTTAAAATTCTTCTGTAAATAGTAGATGACTTTTTTAGACTTGACAAGTGGGACTACAGACAATTGAATTTTCCCTTCAGGGATAAAATAAAGTTATTCTTATTTTTTTTTTCTTCTTCTTAATATTAACTCCACACAGCACTTTTACAGGAGCCTGAAAAAGAAACACTCTTAAACCAGGGCTATAAAGAAATGTCTGCTGGTCTTTGTGGAAACTTTGGAAACTGAAATAGTTACAGTTGAGTGGGAGTGTTGGTTTTCACTCCTGCAAACACTGAAAAATCAAACCTGAATAGTCTGAATAAGTGTGTGTGTGTGTGTGTGTGTGTGTGTGTGTGTGTGTGTGTGTGTGTGTGTGTGTGTGTGTGTGTGTGTGTGTGTGTGTGTGTGAACTTTCAAAAGGACCACTTTTGGTTGAGGTTTGTCTTAACCCAAGTGCAAAAAGAGACACAATAAACATGGAAGCTTGTGAAACAGTCACACAACAGCACCACATCACAAAGATGGGTGGACTCACAGGCTTTAACAATAATGATAATAAAAACTTTTAAACCTTTGGTTAGTGTCTCTGCTCTCAGTTATTATAATGGATATAATTGTTTCAGAATTACAGTCAAACTCCATGTCCTCATACTCACCTATATTTCCATCTTTCAGTTTTTATTCTGCAGACTTTACATTTCCCGTCTGCTGCTGACCTTCACTGAAACATCCTCTCAGGAGATCTGCCGTCTTTCTACTCTACTCACTGACCTTTTCATTACTTCCGCCACACTGAACAGAAACATGGGGATGCTTGGTGAAGGTGGCACTTTGAGACACTCAGACTCAGCCTGTGTTACTGTTAGCAGCCTTTACAACTTCCTGACATCCCCACAGGTATCACAACACATCAAGGTTCAAGGAGGGAAAGTGGAGCTGAGAGCTCTGCTGGCTGACCTGGAAACAGATCCTAGAAGAGAAGGAAGGACCTGTTGTTGCTCAGGAAGTCTGTTTGATCAATCTTGCTGAGAGGGACTGAAGTGACTCAGGTTTCAATGATACTGAAGTAATGAATGTACAAAGAATTTGGATCAACCGGTCAAGTGTGCACATGAGACCCAGTCCAACTTAAAGGATGTTCAGACTTTAAAGGCAGGGTAGGCAGTGTTGTTCAGAGACACCTTTTGCCATAGTGGGTGAAATGGTCCTTCCACCTTAGTAGTCAATTCATTATGTATTCAGAAAGAGAAACAAAAAGAATTCAAGATCTGTGGCAGCTGCAAGACTGTAAAACATTTGTCCAATCATAGCATAAGGTTCGAATGGAAAGAACCAATCAGGTGCCTCCATGTCTGGCCCTGCGCCGCCTCGCTCCCCTCTGCCCCCCACCCCACCCCTCTACCCGCAGGCACAAGCATTGCTTTGCTGTTGCCACAGATAGCAAGCATGCTCCTCTGCCGAAATGCCATGTTAGCTGGAGAATACGTGACCATTTTACAATGAAAGAAAAAAAGCAGCCTAAAATACCAGTTCTATCGGTACCCGTGAAGGCTCGGCCGGCTACACAGCCAAAGAAGAGAAAGACTGAGGCTGAAAGGGCTGCAACGAAGAAGGCTCTGGATAAAGCAAGAGGACAAACTAGAGTCAACATCAGGGCAGGCTTTGAGCGGTGGAGACAACAGAGCAGTTGCTTTGTTTCTGTTGGAAGGGTAATTGTTTTGCTGTGGTGGATATTTTATTTATTTATTTTAAATGTTTTGTTTGCCAGCTTAGCTACTTTTGTAGCTTGTATTTGCCTGATGCTAACGTTAGCTATTCTCTGCTTTTAAGCAGTTTTAGTGGCCACAGTATTGAAAGAGGTTGTAGGACGTGACATTTTGGTCATATTGCACACCTACAGTCACCAATGTCTGCATGGTAGACTGTTGGCATCTACAATAGCACCAATGCTATTTACTTATATTTTAAGTCTGAATTTAATTGGAAGCACCATTGTTGTTTTAAAAAGGCCTGCATAGTGGTGTTGTTGACTGATGAAACAGCTTGGAAAGTTTACAGATAAAATAAATAAGTACAACATGTGGAGAGCAGGTGTGTTTTGAGGACCCAGAGGCAGATATCAACTAAAGATATAGTTTTAATGTTCAAAACTAAGGTTAAAAGGCGAAATAGGAAGTTCGGTAGGCTGGCTGGCTGTCGTGTGGGCTGGAGACACTGCAAGGAAAACAGAGGAGAGGGGGGTGAGTAGACATGCAATGAATCACACAGAGCAGAGTTACGAGTACTAATTCAAAGAGGAGGCCAGGAGACGCGTCTGTACCACTTGAGAGTGAAGACAACACTCAGGCGCTGAGACTGAGGGCTGCTGGCTTCTTGAAGTGCCTTAATTGCAGATGAAGAGCAGGGGGGTATTCCAGAAAGCAGGTTCAACATACTCTGAGTCTATCCCTGAACTCTGAGTTGACTTACTCTGAGATGGGAATCTCTGAGTATCCGGTTCCAGAAAAGCTGATCTGAATTAGTTCAATCAACTCTGAGTATGATAACCTGGAGTTACGCGCATGCACAACCACTATAAAAAGCCATCATCAATGGAGCCCCGATACCACGAGTCACCATGACAACTGAGAAAAAACTGTCAACTTATTTCACCCCGGTGGAGATGGAGGTCCTTATGCTGGCCTACGGCGACACATTTTAACATTTTAACATTTTTCGCCGCAAATCCAACACGGCTGCAGCAGCGAAGGAGAGAGAGACGGCATGGGAGAAAATTGCTGCGCGAGTCAATGCGTAAGTTTGAATGTACTACTCCATTGACGTAACATATAAGATCGAAGCATAGTCTATAGTTATGAATATAAGTAGGAATGAAATCTGATTTTCATTTAGGTGCAATCCAACGGGAGAAAAAAGGACTTGGAAGCAGCTCAAAATGAAACATAAAAACATAATTCAAAAAGGTAAGGCATATTTTGCTAGGCTGTGATTGCACCTCACTTTGATTTTAATTTAATTTTTTTAAATGGACTTAGGCTATTAGACAGAGTCAATATTAATTTAAACTAAAATATTAATTCAGCGGCTACTTCAAATAATAATTTAAACCCCAAACAAAATGTAGTTTTTCAACGTCCTCTCACTTAATTCTACACTTCGTGGATTAACACTTGATACAAACACATTTATATTTTAGACCTATTGAAGTCATTTAAAATGTGACGCTGTAGCCTACACCAACACTGATTAAAATACTATTTTAAAATAAACATTGACTTCTGCTCAGCCAACAGAAAGAAGGCAGAGGCCCGAAAAACGGGTGGAGGGCCACCTTTACCACCTCTGACGGAGGCTGAGGAGCTGGCCCTCAGCCAAAACAGGGGTCGCCCTGTGGCTGAAGGCATCCCCGGGGGAAGCTCATCTGAGCCTGTCACCCCCCAGGACACAAGTCCCTACATCAGATGCAAGTATACACTTATGTCTTTAAAAAAAATAAAACTAATATATAAATATATATAGCCTACTTTTTAACAAATATATATCCACCCACCCAACAGTTGTGGATGGTGTCATCTGCCTGCTTCAGCCTCCGACAGAAACAAACCCTGTAGCTGTAAGTCTTCCATACTCAGATGCCTCAGATGGTAGTTCAAAGTATTCTGAAACAGTATATTTTCCTGCATTACAGGAGGAGGATGAGGATGAGGATGAGGAAACACTGTCTGCTGCCACAGGGAGAGATCCAGAGGGGCTTCCTGAAGTGTGTCTTAATATATAGCTACTGGCAGTGCCCATTCATTTACATTCTAAAGGGGAATTTGGAGTTTGACATGTACATTGAATAGATGAGCATAAATAATGGACAAACTAGCTCATTCTTGTCCTTCAACAGAACATGGCTGGGCATCACCAGGAGGAGGGTCCATCAACCTCAACGGCACAGCTTGTCAAAGTGAGATTTTCGGTCAATACCATGTTAAATCTGTATGTAGAACTAAAGGAATTAAATGTCGTCCATGTTTCCCAGCTCCCGCCCGGTTAAGGAGTTATACAGGGTGCACCTCATGACAAGTATAAAAAAAACGAAAAAGAAATGGTCTATCTGGATCGGCAGATTGCTAAAACAGACCTGGAAATTCTATTACTGGAACGCCAGTTGAGGTGGGTGCATTGTCATGGTGAATATGTGAAATATGTTAATGGTTGGAACTACATTACAAATCCTGACTGTTGCTTTTGTACTCTTAAGGAATAAAGAGGAACCAAATCACATATGCATTTTTTTTTTTAAATCATGTGATGTGAGTGCTCGTCCGCGGTGTGTGAGATTGGTGATATACGGCCGGAGAAGGTTATTTAGATAACTTATACTGTTCAAAGAAAAGCGGTAGCGTTCGAAAAGAAATTCTTCTGGAAATGATAAAACGTCTAATCTGGGTCGGAAGATTCTCTCGCGACGTAAACCATTGCGCATTATTCTGGCTTCGATGTCGATCGGATTTTCAAGGAATGGACAATCCATGTTCAATCGCTTTCTTTGTGTGGGAGGAGACATGTAGAAACTCTGGGTCTCTTATAGTAAACCTGCCAGCGAGCAGGTTATGTTCACAGAGTAAGTTACCGCAGTAACTGACCCAGTGTTTAAGTTACCTCTCTTTCTGGAACGGATAACTCAGAGTTTCCCTCATCTCAGGGTTAACTTACTCAGAGTTTTTCACATAACCCGCTTTCTGGAATACCCCCCAGGTGTGTAGTCTCACTCAGCCTCAGCGACCGGGGGAGGGGAGGGAGCTCTGGAAAAGAGTCAAGCCAGACCAGGCAAACAAAGAAACACAGGAAGTCCAGCCAAAGTAAAACAAGAGGAGGAGGCGTCTTGGAGGCTACTTGGACTGAGAGACCTTGGAAGGACTGATTGAGGCCCTGGAGCATATCCTCATGTTGACCGAGGCGAGAGGGAGATAGGTAGACATGCAAGGAATCACACGGAGCAGAGTTACGAGCACTAATTCAAAGAGGAGGTCAGGAGACGCGTCGGAGCAGAGTTATGAGTACTAATTCAAAGAGGAGGAGGCAAACAAGAGGCGGAGGCGACTTGGAGGCTACTTGGACTGAGAGACCTTGGAAGGACTGATTGAGGCCCTGGAGCATATCCTAATGTTGACCGAGGCGAGCCCCAAGCTTCTGGACGGCTTGCTGAAACCTGTCCGGGTCTGCTGGGTCCATTTTCCTGGCCTGAGTATTCTGTGGCGAGCAGGTGTGTTTGGGGACCCAGAAGCAGAGACAGAAGCAGATATCAACTTAAGATATAGTTTTAATGTCCAAAACTCAGGTTAAAGGCAAAATAGGAAGTCCGGTAGGCAGTATTCTGTGGCGAGCAGGTGTGTTTGGGGACCCAGAAGCAGAGACAGAAGCAGAAATCAACTTAAGATATAGTTTTAATGTCCAAAACTCAGGTTAAAGGCAAAATAGGAAGTCCGGTAGGCTGGCTGGCTGTCGTGTGGGCTGGAGACACTGCAAGGAAAACAGAGGAGAGGGGGGTGAGTAGACATGCAATGAATCACACAGAGCAGAGTTACGAGTACTAATTCAAAGAGGAGGCCGGGAGACGCGTCTGTACCACTTGGGAGTGAAGACAATACTCAGGCGCTTAGACTGAGGGCTGCTGGCTTCTTGAAGTGCCTTAATTGTAGATGTAGAGCAGGTGTGTAGTCTCACTCAGCCTCAGCAACCGGGGAAGGGGAGGGAGCTCTGGAAAAGAGTCAAGTCAGACCAGGCAAACAAAGAAACACAGAAAGTCCAGCCAAAATAAAACAAGAGGAGGAGGCGTCTCAACACAACAGATATTTTAGACAGAATGATATTTCTATACCACACTCGCCTTCTCTTCATTTCAGGTACCACAAGCTGTATAACAGAAAGTCCAGAGCAAGGAGTTTGAACACCATAAAAGCCCCAAAAGATGTATATCTGACCAAGAGGATTTATTGTTTGGATATTATTTTTCCAATAAAATTATGTTATATTTTATCTTATGTGTAATTTTCTATGCACCATAACTGCTGACTCTGTTGTGACCAAAGTTGTTCAAGTATTTGCTGATGTGATTGGTAATGATAATGATATCGATGATAAAACATATGACGTGGAATGTGGCGTTCCCCAGGGCTCAATTTGAGGTCCAACACTTTTTGATCTCTACATGTTGCCATTGGGGGATGTCATCAGGAGGCCGTGGCGCAACTTATTAGACCAACCACAAACCCAGCCCCGCGCAACGTATTAGACCAACCACAAAATATTCATCATAAACTCACACAGGGCACAGGGTATCTTCACGTCTTTAGAATTTTAAAACCGCAGTTGCAGTGCAATGTGCATAATCTAGTAATTGTACTACAATAAACTAAACAGCAGCCATATACAAAATACCCTGGACAACCGCAATCAACAGTACCCCACAAAATCCTCAAAGGAAAACAAAATGGCTCAAAAGACATATACAGCAGCATTGTAATTTAATATCAGTCAAGGAAAACAAGTGTCAAAAACATAAATTGCAATATTAATAAGGTAATAGTACAAAATACAATGTTATAGAAAAATACAAACACAACAAATTACAAATGGTGAGGTATGTAAACTAGAATGAGTGCAAATATTCAGTGCAATATGCATATGTAGTAATTGTACTACAATAAAAAGGGCCATATACAAAATACACTGGACAACCTCAATCTAGCCCACAACGTCCTCAAAGGAAAACAAAGTGGCTCAAAACACAGCAGCATTGTCATTAAATCTCAGTCAAGGAAACAAGTGGCAAATATCTGTAAAATATCTTCATGATGAGTCAGTCAGTCATCACTGCACAGATAATTTAGTGAAAATCATTAGTCTGTACAGCTCAAAAAAGAAAGGAAAAAAAGAGGAAGAAAAGCCAATACGGCTGGTGTTATGCCATAGAATGCATCCCATCCACTCATTAGCTTCTTAAAGTGGAAAAAAATGATCTCATATTTAAAAAAAACACAAGTATTCATCATGACAACATGTCAAATGGAGCAGCAAACTTTCGTTCTGTTTTTAGGTATTTAAAAAATGCACATACAGAGGTGTACTTGGGTATATAAACTGTACAGTAAGCTGTTAAGGTAGAGAACATTATATTTTCGGGGCAGCAAATATTCTGAATCAGAGGGCTATTGTTTTCAGCATATCTGAATAGCCTGAATGAAATCATTAAAGGCACACGCTTTAGAATCAGTCCAACGGAAAGGAAAACTTGGATTATTTCGCCTTGTTGTGTACTTTCAACCGCGCTCCCGTCAGGGGGGGCATCCTACAGCAGGGGTGCATTCTATGGCACAACACCGGCCGTGGGAACAGGGTCTTAATAAATCCCCCTTAAATCTGTAAATCTGTAACTTCAACTAAAACATCAGCAAATGGCTTGACACAAATGATTTGCTTAGCTAGTACGTTGTGTTATTGATCTGCATTCTGCAACATGCTTGACTGCCATGATCTGACGACTTCGAATGAATCGAAACTCAAGACTCGTCTCGACTTTGGAGAAGTCAAGCACAGAGGCATTATGCCTCGGCAAGAAAGCATGTTGTTGCCTAACAGGTGAGGCATTAAGCCATGATGATAATTGACGCTGCTCTGCCTGGTCTGCCTTGGTTTATTATTGCCTTGTTGGCTGTGCTTGGTGTGGTCTCTCTGTGTGGTGAACTGGTGGTGGCGATGCATAAGCCGCGGCGGCGGCGCTGCGGGTGTGTTGTGTTACAAGTTACCTGGCTGTAACTAGTTGAGTTAAACACACAGAGAGTTACCAACCCAACTTACCTCAGAAGCAAGCGCAGTACGACTACGAGGAGGGAGCGGGGGGGGCGGGGAAGAGTTGTGTCCTGTGTGCAATCCATTGGGGACCGTGGCGAAATTGCAGGCATGTTGCAGGCAGATAGACACTTAAGCCCAAATATATATAAGACTTTACGACTGTATGTACTGTTGTTCGATTGCTGTGTTTTTGTTGTTGCTTTATATTGCGAAATAAAAAGTATTTATAAAAAAAAAAAAATCTTCTCCCCTCCCTGGCGCCTTTTCTGCTCGCGGGCGCCCCTAGCATTTTTTGGCTAACTAGCATGACATGACCTAGACTAGGTCATGTCATGCTAGTTAGCCAAAAAATCATTAGCCCCTATCTCACTAATTAGATGGCTTTGAACAAAAATATTTGAGCTCTGACAGTTTCTCCTGAAGGCCAATCACTCCACCAAATTTCTTTAAAACCTGTGACGTGAGTGGCGATTCTTGGTTGAATTGACATGGAATGACCCTAGTGCACTGCTCTCCTCTCTGGTCTTCCTAAAAAGACCATTTCACAGCTTCAGCTTCTACAAAATTCAGCTGCAATCATGCTGACGAAGACCAGGAAGAGAGCCCACATCACACCAATTTTAAAATCTCTGCATTGGTTACCTGTGTCTTTTAGAGTATATTTCAAGGTTCTTTTATTAGTTTTTAAAGCTCTTAATGGTGTTGGTCCCTCTTATTCGTCTGATTTGCTTTTACCGTATAAGCCTAGTAGAGCCCACAGGTCTTCACGTAGTGGTCTTTTAATTGTTCCCAAAGTAAAAACTAAAACATATGGTAAATCATCATTCTAACATTACGGTCCCCATCTTTGGAACAGCCTACCTACAGATCTGAGAGCGACACCTACTGTTTATATTTTTAAAGTAAACTAAAGACCTACCTTTTTAGTCTGTCTTTTAGCTGAATTTTTTTTTATCTTTTAATGTGCATTTTGTGATTTTACGCTATTTTAGTCCCTAGAGTAATTATTTTGTGTTTTATTACCTCTTTTTTTAATTTACTTTCTTTTATTGCTTATTTTTAAGACTTTTATTTAATTAACTTTTAACATTTTATCACCTTTATCATGATTATATAATTTTAGTCCTGTGGCGTAGGCATAGGCGTAAGTCAGGTCCGCCGTGCCGACCAGGCGTGCCCAATCACATTTTGGTATTTTGGTGAGCAGCGCAACCCGGCGTAAGTATCCCCCTCCCTAACTCAGCTTCTCCCCATGGCGTAGGTTGTAGAGAGGGCGTGGAGTGGGTTTAACACAGCCTGTTTAACAGAGACCTGTTTTCGCCAAACAGATCAGCTCGTGTCCTCACCTTTAAATCCACCACGGGCAAGGCGCATTACAATTTTCGTGAAGTAGT